ATCATTGGACAATTCTTTTATTATTGGCAAAATTTACTTATAATACTATAATATATTCTTTTATTTAATAATAATTTTTTATGCCTTCATTGTTGCATAATTAAAGGAAACTTAGGAATAAAAAAAAATCAATATAGATGCCTATTACAAAGTTCAACTTAAATTCTATGTTGGCAACAAAGTATGATTATTTTGTTGTAACATCTAATATAACTACCTTAATGACTAGTTGGATTACCTTAAACTTGAATCATTTCCTATTTATAAATAAATCAATTCAAATGCTTATTAATTATATCTATTGAATTTTATGAAGATTCATCCTATATTTTATATGTCTCTTGTTGATTCATATAAGATAATATATATATATATATATATATATATATATATATATATATAAACCAAATATTACCTTTTTATATTGAAGTGGACAAAAATTAAGGATTTAAAGTCAAAGAAGTCTTAGACTTAAGGTGGCACCAAAATAAGTTAAAATATATGGTACATTGGTATAGAAATAATATTAATAAACTCATTTAAAATCCATCTAGGTATCTTAAAAATACAAAAAAGAAGGTTGAAGCTTTTCATCTATGATATCTATCAAAATCAAGATAAAAAATTAAAAAATTATTTACTATAAAGCAAACAAAGTCTAATAAAAATTACATTGTATCTTCTATTTTTATTAGTGATTTTTGTGTATATGTGGTATTAAAAATATAAATAATTAACAATCAGAAAATTAAATTTAAGAACCATTATTCATTGACTTAAGAAATAAAGTATTGAGATTGTCACAACCTCCAAGACAACATATTAGAAATAAAGACCTTCAAGAAAAACATATTCTTCTTTTAATAGATGGTGAAATACAAAATGTTTGATATTCTAACTTTAAAAGAGATTCTTGATGTTTAGTAATATTATTAGAAGTAGGAACCACTTATTAAAGACATAAATTATAACACTCTTGTGTCACTACAAAAGAGTAGAAAATTACTCAAAGATGATATAATATTTAACTAAAATGGCTATTTCCATAGATAAGAAACTAAAGATTCTTAAAACAAGAATGAGGACAAGAAAGACATTGATAAGAATGAAGAAGGCTTCACTCTTGCATTTATATATATTATCTAAGTAGGAGCTATGTGACAAAGTTCTATTGGACTTCCAATACATGTCTAACTTGCAAGACCAATTTCCAACATATGCACTACATGATCAACTTGTACCACAAATCATTAACCTGTGTGACATGTGGCCTACTTGCTAGCTAAGTTTTCAACCTATTAATCACCTACAAATACATATAAAGTTAAATCCACCTCTATAAAGCTTTTAAAAAGCTTCTTCACAAGATATTATTAAATCTCCTTATTTCTATTTAATTCCATTAATTTAAACAAATATGCATATCTATGTAAGCTTAGTTTTTTTGAATAAAGATACTTTTTGTTTTTTAACAAAGTCTTTGTCTTTAAAAGAAGTTGAGGCTCTTGAATCTAATAATTTAAAGATTTCTAATCTTTTGATCCTTAAAAAATATCTATTGTAAAATAAGATAAGAATATGAGGAAAGAATAGGACCTTTATTAGGTATTATACAAGATTCTAGTTGCACAATTCTTATTATAATTAGACAAACTTGTTTTTTGGCACATCATCCTCTTTGGCAACCATGCTCCTCATTTTTTTATTGTAGTTTTTTTTTTTGAATAATGTTGAGCAGTGTCCTTAAGTTCTCATTAATATAAGCATAATCTTTCTTAACAACATTAAATCTTTTCTTGTTTGCTAGAAAATTTGAAATATATTGTATTAATTTAGATAGATTTTGACCTTGATAAATAAATTTATAAAAACTTAAGAATTGTCATCATTACTTGAGTTATTTCTCTTTTTAATAAAATCTTTGTATTCAAATTGTTGATTGTTGCATACAATGGTTTAAGTAATAAAAAAAATTAGTGAATTTGCTTTTGGCATTATCAATAATAAATCTTTTTTGTTATTTTTTAATCCATATTAAAATTGATTGATAAGGGCTTTATCATTCTAATGCACATCGTAAGCAAGGTTTTGGAATTCACCAATATATGGTAGCTGATTGTGATCTTTGTTATAAAGACAAAAATTTGGTCTTTACTACATTTTCTTGATCACTTTCTTCAAATGTGGATATAAATACTTTTAAGAATGATTACAATCATATAAAAATTATAAATTATTTTTTGTCAAAAGTGTATAAGAAAGTACTTCTAGATAGATGTATGCTTATGAATCCAACTTAAGTAAATCTATTAGGATATTTGGAAGGTTGTAATTTTAGATAGAGTATGATTTGTAATAAAAACCCTCAAAATTTTGATTTTGTTCTATCAAACTTCTTCGACGTACTAATCTTTGCCTCTCTTATATTTATAATAGCAAGACTTTTTGAATTTAATTGTGAAATTGACCTACTTGCTTCTTTTAATTACTCAACTTCTTAATATAGAGATTAAATTTTATTGTCGACTTCTTCAATGGATATAAAAATAGCACCTCCATGGTTGACATTGGTGATATGTGAGGTTTCTACTCTAAAAGTGTTGACAAGCTTGTAAAGATCTCCAATAGTTACAAATTTATTCTAACTTTTGTCAAGTGTAGCATCTATAATTTTTCCTTCCATCTTACAAACAAACAACTTCAAGAAATCTACAAGTCCAATTAAAAGAGGATAATCTGCAATCTCTAATATCAAATTTTTACAAAGAATAGTAGTCTATTTTTTTTAAAAGATTAAATGTTAGAAAATAAAAAATATTAGTTTAAAGGTGGATACTTCACATTTTTTAAAAGACAACAAGAAAAGTGAGATAATTCAGTCACTTCTAAAAGAAAATAAGAATAAAAAATTAGTATTCTTGCTAAATTGTTAAAGATATAAATAAATTATTTCTTATAGAAATATTATCACAACAATAATTTAAGGTTCTAATTAAATATTTTGATTATTTTACTTCAATATATGAACTTTATATGATAATGAATTATTGCTTAATAAATTTAGAAAAAGAATAGAGAGGAAGTAGAATCAAGACCTATATTTCTAATACCAATGGGATTTTAAAGTTAATTTGTGTAATATAAAATATATTTCTATTATCTTCTTTTGTTTAAAAATGAAAAGTAGAAAAGAAGATAAGAAAAAAAAAAATGTCTCTATTATTATTGGAGTATGTTTGCAATAATCTAAGTTTATGATTTACTGGCCTTTAGATGATTTTGTTGCAGAGATATCAACTTATTAAAGTGTTGTAATAGAATGAGTTTTATCATGCTAGAATATAAATAATACCAACCACTAATTTTTTATCTACTTCTAGTAGTTTTATAGACCATAATGTTATTACTTTTGCTTAAGTTGAAATCTTATTTTTTTATTGTTGATAGCTTATTTATAGTCTATTGATTGTTGATAAATAATAGCTTTTATTAGTATCTATTATTATACATAATAACTTATTATAGCAAAATTTTGTGCTTTTAAACTAGGAGATATTTTTATATTTTTAATTGTTAGCTAAGCTTTCCTTATTGACAATACTAACATTTACTTCTTTTTCTATTAATGAAACCGTTTATAAAAAAAATATTAATATCTTTATACAAAGCATCATTGGAGGAATATAGACTTAATTCGATATAGACATTGTTGCTCAAATTTCTTATAAATTTGGTTGGATTAGATATCAATATATAAATTGTGCCAAGTTTTGGAACTAGTCCTTATTATTGAATTGAGATTGATCTTTTACAATTGTAATGATAATTTATTTTATTTTTTCTAAGATTTTTTTAAAAATAAAATTTGGATGAAGATTATTTGGCTCTAGGATTTCTTATTGCAGATAATATTTTGCATCATTTGATTTTATAATATTTATATTATCTATATTTAATTAATAAAAAATTAATTTTTTTGCTTATAAGAGAGTTTTTAACATCTTTGGAGTTAATTACAATATTAAAATTATGAATCTAAGATATTAAGCTTATAAGTATGTTTTTTTTTGGCATTTTTCCATCAATTATTTGGAATTGTCCAACATATTTTAAATCATAATTTATATAAGAACCTTGAATTAAATTTATATTGTAATCACAAATAAAAAATAAAAATAAAAATAAAAAAGATTCTATTTGTAAATAAGTACAAATTCCAAAAATACATGTGAATAAATTTAATAGTTGTAATATTTTAATTATATTTGGACAATTAGATCCAATGAAATCTATCTTTGCTAAGAAACTTAGCTATTATAAGCATATGCAATCTTCTTTTACAACCAGGCAAACTATTATTTAAAAGCCGAATTTAAAAGATTATCATTTTCAAATTCAAGCATCACATTCTCATTTAGATACTTCAGATACTTATATTGATTAAAAAAATTCACCTTTACTTTTTACATTTCAGATTTCACATGTATTTTTTTTCCTTGTATGTTTGTATTTTCTATATATCTTGGTTTGCTGTAACCACCTTCATCTCTTACATCTATACCTGTAAGGGACCCATCTTTTTTACAAATATAGATTATTGCATTAGTCATTACAAAATTGATTCTCTCTCTATGTCAAGTTTGCATTAGTCATAAGAATTAATTAAGATATAAAAGTTGAATAGTTGATACACTAGAATAAGAAAAGGCACAATTGCCAAATTTGTAAGGAAATCCTAGTAGCAACAGCAAGTCCTCAATTCAGGGATTCGTATTCTGTATGTGCAGGACTAATGATAGGTATGAAATGGAGCACAGAACAGAACAAGAGCTGGCCTGAAATGGGTAATAAATCATGCACAAGATGGCCAAATTTGGGCAAGTGTCATTACAATAACAGCTAAACGAGAAGGTTTCTGTGGCGTTAGAAGAGACAACCCTCAAAGGAATCAATCGAGCCCTGCATCAAAGTAAACATGGTGACTTCCATGCCAATAAGGGTAATAAAAAATTCAATTATATTACTAATTCGCGGTATGATGGTGATATACTTGACCCAAATTACGAATGGAATAATAACAGTGGTATCAACCACATCGGGAAACCAATGGTTCACCTTTAGTTAATCCAAACATCTTTTTTGTACAATATCTATTAAACTCAATGGCCAGCCTAAACCTGAGAATTTTCAGGAAGATTTCAGAGTGATTTGGACTAAAATACTCTATACAAGGTCAATCAACCTTTGTTGCCCATCCGCAAGGGAGTAAAGCACCGCCTACCTGAGATTTGCACCCAAGCTAATGTACATGAAGCAAAAACAGATAGAATTGAAGGGATTGGTAAAAGAAACCGTAGTGACCACCAGACGAACTTAGAAAGTCGTTGAATGGACGGAAACTCGAGACCCATGTCGCTTAGGGAAGGTTCATGCCACGCGGTCAGCCGTAGTGGTGAGAAAGTGTCGAATTCTTTGCAGCAGTTCCGCTTTCACGTTATCCGGCACCATAGCTGCAACAATCTGGTCCACGTGAGCCAACGACTTATGTATGGCAATAGCTCGTTCAAACGATCGGAAAGCCTCACACCATTTACATTTGTATCACTTATGCTTTGCACATGCATGATAATCTAAGACTCGGACTCTAAGTAAACATGAACAAGTTTTGAGAATGTTGGACGAACGCACTTCGGCCTTTGGGAGTAATCGTGCGAACAAGCTCGTCCACAGTGATATTATTACGCCCCTTCTTTTCCGCAAAAGCCCTGCTAGCCACCTCATCCAAACGTATCAAAAGCGGCAAACAATATGATGATGTTAACTTACACATTGAAACTGCGACTAGCATGGGGTGACATGATATACAGAGACCTACTTCAACCTCACTAATACGAGCAGGCTAGTGTGCACGTGAAAATGCTCGGAATTTAAGAGTTTTCAGGGTGAAAGCTGTGCTACGCGGATTGTTTAAGAGAAGTCAGGAAACTCAGAAAGATACATCCCGTGAAGGTACGCCGTGGGAGAATAGGGAAGCCACACCTGCACTGAGCCTTTAGTTCATCTCTCCAGCCACATTCAATGAGTCGTTCCCGCAACAACTCCTTCAATCTCTCTTTCTCCCCGCTCTCAGTCAACTGCACAGGTCAAGCCAAGTATATGTAAGAGGGTCGCCAAAAAACCTGCTGTTCCACTGTTACTTCTTCCCTCAAGCAGACGACTCCACTACAGAAGGGCTTAAGAACAATTCCAACCAACCAGTAAGTGACGAGCTGTCATCGTGTCCCCTAGCAAATTGAAGATCCACAATCTCCCGCAACCTCACAAAAGAGGAACATAATTCTGATCGCAAATGGCGGAGGTAATCGACCTTGATATTGATCATTTCCTGGAGCGTGGGTTCTGGTTCCCTATCTTCATCGCCATCAGGAGTAGACGGCCTAATAACGGAGGCCCTCCTGAATCACCACCGAAAGCATTGCCACCATCATCAAAATAACTTCGAACCTTTCCCAAATATACGCTCTCTGACCCTCCAATTACTCCTCTAAACTGCACCATGTCACTCCATGCCCAATATCTTTTTCTTCTACTCAACACTCTAATGGACACCAAAACAAGCTCCCAACAACCTCCGGAAAACCCTGAACAGCATCACGACCCGACACTTCCATTCCCAGACTCCTCCGTCACTCTTGCCACACTACAAACCAACCACAAACCCTAGAACTCGACCTCCCCTCCCCTACTCACATGGCTGGAAGCGAAACGAAAAAACCGACGGAACCACGATGATGATCCTACAGAGCGGCCACGGGGTATATCAGCTGATGATGATAGTGAGCAGAATGAACCGAAAGCACTTGCGCCACCAAACAACCATCAATCTGGACGACCTCTCTCGGCAAATACCCCCGGGATGAATCTCTCTCTCGATCTCTCGATCTCTCCCTCCAAACTAAGCTTATCGGCAACACAGACTGTCTTCGCATGCCCACGTAATGCGGTCGACTCGGTGCATTTCCAATGCTCTTTTTAAGTTGACAAGAGGGATGGCCAAGTCGATGAGCCCATGCGTCGATGACGACACTAAGGCAGAGGTGATACGCACGCCAGCTCCGCAAGGTTGATGGCAAGGACAATGGCGATGGACGCGCCCCAAACCCTAATTCCTCAGCGTCGTCGTTGTTATTATTTTCAATCGCGTGAGCTATCTTACTATTTTGTTCTGTAGCGAGTCGTAAGTTTCATCCCAGTAATAAGTTACGGTGCCCCCTTGAATCTTCCAACTCTTCTGGAGCTTTCCTTGCTCTTGTCCACTCCTGCCTGTGCCTTTGAGGCCCCAGAATGTGGCACCATGTGGCTTTTTCCTAACTTTAAAGACAAATTATAATGATATTTTCAAAAATGCCTTTGTGAAACCCTAAACTGGGTCGTTCTTATGTAAAAAGAAATGGATTGACATTCAAGACATGGCAAAGGGAATATGCTTTTATGATACACCACATATTTAGCTAAAGCAGTCTTCTTGGCCAAGAGGGATAGGAAAAAAATAATGTTTCTTTATATATATCAACAGGTTTGCTTCAAGGAATATGCACAATTAAAATTCATTGCAGTGTACTCGAAAGACTGTCAAATACTTGTTTAACATTGACCACAACGATACAAATGAACATAAACTAATCAACATGAACAAAGAAGAGGGAAATGGATGGATGTACAAATATTCGAATGAAAATCATACATTCGTACATGAGTAAACGCAAAGGCTCATTTCGATACTTTACTACTCTCGTAAACCTCGGCGAACGGAGCATGAGCCCTGCTTCAGGGCGGAGATCAGGCTTCCCAAATCTCATCGACCAAAGGATCTGTTGCCGCAAGAGGCGCTTGGATTCATGCACATAGATATCAGGAGCGGAGGACCCACTCGCCACTTTAATCAGAGACCATCCGCAGCCATGGACAAGTGGAGCAGAGCCTGGGTGTGGAGCCTACGTTGGAGGCAGATGATGCGCAGTGCAAGGTGGGAGCGGGTAGATGGATTCTTCGTTGAATCCATGACCACAGGAAAGCGGCCGTTCTTCTTCAGCTCAGGTCCACAAGATTGGTCGTCGAAGCAGACGGAATCCTGTCGTGATAAGATTTGACATCGAATTTTTCCCAGGACTTAGGGCTTTGTAATATAATGTGTGTGTTCTGCTGTTGACGGAGGTTTTGGAACGGTAGATCTGCAAATTGTTAAGGTGGGTTTTTTTCTAAAATTAGGTCAATTGTGATGCAATGTACTGCTGGGGGATTAGGAAGGAAGAAACACTGTGATTAGTATGCTTGGAAAATTGCGCATATTACACGATTGTTGTGCAATTTCATGGTCATGCCGAGACTTGAGAATATGGTAATGTTGTGAGGTAGGTGTAGTTCTGGGAATGCTTAACTGCAAATATCGCTGATGCTTTTGATGAGTGAATGTGTAGCCAAGGAGACAAATAAAGACGCACGACGAAGACTGTGGATCCAGGAACGCTTTTGAAGAATGAGTCCGCTCGAGTCAGCACTGACGTGGCTATTCCGGCTGTTGATTCCCGCCTTGATCTTTGAGCCAGGATGAATGAACTTGCAGATTCAGTTTTAATGGAGCTCTTCGGTCATCCAAATGAATGTTCAAGGGGTGCCCGTCTCCTGGGCTATTCTTGCCCCCCGGCCCCCTTGCCCGTTGACCAAGACCCCCCCAACCTCGGTTAGGGGATCCGGATCTAGTCAACACCAGCCGGGGATGAAATATACTCACATCATTCAAAATATTCTTTTGTGAGCAATCTAAAAATATTAATAATTACAAAAAGAATTAGAATCATAAAAATTACAAGGTTTTATTTTCTAAGGTCTATTCATTGAAGTTGGTTCTAAAGTATATATATTTTTATTTATAAAATAGTCTTTTATATTAAAATAATTATTTGATAGTTATTGTGATCTTATGCTACAAACATACATATTCATTCCAATATTTACATAATAATAGGAGTAGATAGAAGTAAGTGAAAGTGAGTAATTAATATAATATCTTGTGGAGAAGTTTTATAAATGCAGATTGATTTTATACATATTTGTAGATAATTAGTAGGTTTAAAACTTGGCCAACAAATTGGCTTTATGTTGCACATATTGAAAACTTACCTTGCAAGTTAAACATGACTTCTAATACAAATTTGACACATGTTGGAAGCATTATAGATAGTCTAGTTTCAAAAACCTCTAATTTTCTAACCTTTGGCAATTGCCACTCCAATTTCTTCTTGAATATACATACTTATTTATTCTTCTTTAATATAAATTTTACTTGTTTATCTACATTCTTTGAGTTCTTGTCCTTGACAAATTAACAAAAATGTACTTATAATATTAAAGCTTTGTCTTATCTTGATTAAGAGTATATTACTCCATTTTTTAAATAAGACATAAATATATTAGAAGTTGTGGATTATTCACTTTTAAACAAATATTGTTTTCAATTTTTTTTTGTTCTTAAGTCTTATTTGCTACTTATCTTGAGTATTAATAGATATCTTCTTTTCTATTGTGTTAATATAGCAAAGCTTGTTGAAATAAAGAATGCAATCCTATAAATATAAGAGTAAATAAAAGAATTAATTCTTGCGCTGTATCAATTCAATTTATTATCACAAAGTGCAACAAGATTAATAAGAAGTGAAGAAATATATATATATATATATATATATATATATATATATATATAATTAGAACTGCTTCAACATCTACATCAAGCTATATTGTTTCTTCTATGATGGAACATCATTCAAGCAATAAAGAATAAAAAATTGTCTTGTCAAAGAAGTTTGATGGCATAATTTATTTATTTATTTATTTTTTTAATTCATTAATCAATTATAGTTAATAATCAAACTTCAACTCCAAAGTTATTCAACTCCAAGATCATTTGTCAAGTTTCATGGTTTTTATCTTTTCTTGAATGATGTGATCCAATATTGGATAATTTTGAGACATTTTTGGTGGAGTTTTGATCTACTCAAAGAAACCATGATCCAATTCATATTACAACTAATAATATATTTATTTTGCATCATGTAAATTAATAAATAATATTATATGCTTCATAATTTTATCAATTTATATTTAATATTGAGTAGGATGATATTAAAAATATCAAAAATATAAAACATGAATTAAAAAAATGTGGTGTGATTGATGAAGATGAATACATATCAGAGATATTTGAAGAATCTTGTTTAGGTGATACTATAGATGATTTACAAATATTATTGAATAAAGATTTTAAAAGAGGTAACAAGATAATAACTGTGCATTCTAAATAATTTTATAATGGAATAAAAGAATATATAGATAAGTATGAAGTGAATATAAATACAAAATATAAGACTGTTGCAAGAAAGTTTAAATCAGTGGCATTGCCACTACCATCGGATTTTGAAGAAAAGATTAAATGGACTTCTATGCAACCAAACTTAAGAGATCCAAAGAAAATAGGTCATGAATACAAGGATGCTTTGACATTAGATAGCTTGAAAATTTGATGTGATAAAGTTTTAATAAGAGATGAGGAGAGATGTTTTAAAGAAATACTTTCATGACATGGTAAGGCATTTGTATTTGAATCACATAAAATAGGGTGCATTGATCCAAGTATTGTAGTACCTATGTTTATTTTTACAATTCCACATGAACCATGGAATTTGAGGTCAATTCCAGTTTCAAAGGCCTATTTGCCAAAGCTAGTTGAATTATTTAATAAAAAGATTAAGATAGAAATTTTAGAACCATCTATTGTACCATATTTCAATTGGTGGTTCTCCGTACTTAAATAAAATAGAATATTGAGGTTTATTTAAGATATGCCACCGATAAATAAGATAACTATTAGAAATATGGCCTCAAGTCTAATTGTAGATGAGTTTAAAGAGGCATTTATAAGAAGAACAATTTATTATATAGGAGATCTTTATTCGAGATATGATCAATTTCAATTGGCAATACAAAGCAAAGATTTGACAACTATGAAGACACTATTAGGATTGGTCAAAATGTGTACCTTACAACAAAGAGCTACAAATTTTGTGGCACACATGATGAATGGAATGCATAAGGTATTAAAAATATTTATTTTAAGTATAACAATATTTTTTTTAGATGATGTGCCAATTAAAGGATGTAAAAAAGAAAGAAAAGATGAGACTTTGGATTCGAAAGGGTGTAGAAAGTTTGTGGCATATCATATTGGTGATTATGAAAAGGTTTTGATAAGATTAAAAGAGGTCCATTTAACCTTATCAAAGGTAAAATCAATGTTTGGAATTTGGGAAGTTTTGGTAGTTGGACATGTATGGGGGTCATATGAAAGCAAGCCAAATATAAAAAGGATTGATGTTATAAAAAAGATGAAAGAATGTGCCAATACAATGGAAGTTAGAAGGTTTTTAGGAGTATGTATTTTCTATCATATATGGATACCACATTTTGCATATGTAGCACATCCATAATGTGAGTTGTTAAGAAAGAATGAAAAAAATCAATCAAAAGAAGATTAAAGAAAAGATATGAAAAAATTGAAAAACCTTCTTTCTTTACTTCTAACTTTGAAAAAAATAAATTATGAGTGTAGAAGTCCAATGGTATTAACAGTAGATACAAGTTCAATTGGAATAGGTTGGACAATTAGACAAGATGATGAACAAGGCAACAGATATGTAATAAGGTTAGGAGTAAGGGTTTTGAAATTTAGACAAAGGAAATATGCACAATTTAAAAGACAATTATGAGGTATAGTAATAGCTATGAAAAATAAAAGAGAGTATTTGATTGGTGCATCAGTAGTTATAGAATTACATTATCTTCCTTTATTGGGCATGATTACGAGTTGTCCAATATCGGATATTGCAATGTTAAGGTGGATTGCATATATAAAGTCTATGAATCTTGAATTCAAGCACATTTTGGAAAAGGACAATGTGGTTGCAAATATGCTATCACGAGAACCATATAATTATGAAGATGATATGATTGATGATGAAGAAAATCTTGGCACCAACTTTTATTCAACTTTGTATATAAGAAGAGATGGATTATCTTTAGCTACATCATTTAAATTATTCTCAGAAGAATTATATGATAGTGAATGGTCGTATACATGAAAATAC